TGTGTGTGTGTGTGTGTGTGTGTGTATGTGTGTGAATGAGATGTGAAGCTATTATGTGTGGCATATAATATCTTAATATGTGTCTACCCCCACCCCCAACTCACGCCCCCAAAACCCTTTAGTCTCATTTTTTTGGCCCCTGTTTACTTGTTGTGGATGATTTTTTTACTCTCTTTTTTTTTGCGTAGATGAATTATTTTCTGATAGTGCTAAGCAAGTATAATAATATAAAAATTTCTGTGATGTTTATTTACTATTTTCCCCCAGACTTTCACGGTCGGACAGACAGTGAGCAAACGCATTTTTGCTCGGTTGCCAAAGTGATTAAGGATGAACAAGCCTTTCTGGGTGTATTGACTCTTTTCTTGTCACATGGACTTATGCAAGGATCTGGACAATAGAGACTTATCTTATCTTATCGTATTATATCTTATCTTATCTTATCTTATCTTATCTTAACATCCTAGATCGGACACTGTCATGGGTGCGGCTGATATTGCTCTATAAATTAATACTTTGCTGCTCTGGTGTGCACTGCGGGCGCCCAAACGAAGAGTAAAACAACAATATCGGTAACGTTGAGTGCACGCGCAACATTCTCTGCTTGCCCTTCATTTGTTCTTTATTTGCGTCAAATGGTGCACTCCACGGTGAGCTGGAGTTACAGCAGAGTGCACCGTCTGGGATGTCATTTCGCTACCCAAGAATTAAAAAGTTTTATGTTCAGTATCTAGTTTTGAAAAATTTGACGTTAACGATTTTTGTTTTACAACATGCAATTTTTTTAATGCAATTCTTTGAACACCTTCATAACGACTCCGAATAATCTTACGATTTTGATAGAGCAGAAAGAACATTTGGTTTTTTACCTCATAATCTTAGTAACTCAAAACGGCCAAATAATCAGATAGAACTAGGTAATTTTAAGGTAATCATAGTACAACAAGCCTACAGTACCCCACGTCGATGAGCTGATGAGCAGTGGTTAAGAAAGAGTTAATGTTTTATGTCAGGATATTAATAATTTATCTCTTAATAGTTAGTTTTAGTTCGAGTTTTACGGGACATGCAACACAAATAGGTCACAGATTAGAGATTAGATCGCAGATTAGAGGTATTACAAAAGAGTAACAATGACAAAACAAAAAAAAAGAATGAGTAGAAATAAGGACGATTTGTGTTTGATAGGAAAGAATGAGCGGACTCCACACAGAAGACCCGAGTTTGGTTTTCGTGACGGCCTATGGTCTTTCTGCTGGAATGGTGTATTCCTTCCAGCTCGGGTTAACCAAGAAGAACAGAGTAGAGGCCCACCTCTTAAAATAATCTAAATCATGTCGATTTGGAAAGGGGAGGGAGGGGGG